ATTACAAAAAAACATTCTCGAATGATGATTTGGAAGTGAAAGGCTTGTATACTTGCATATGAATAGAATGTTGGATGAAGATGAACATGTTAAAGCCGATTGCCAATTGAACACATGTATATGATAAATTTTCTAGGCCCAGCATGGTCTACCACCAACAACATCATCGTTTTTGTCTCAACTTTTTATCACAAAATGTTTCGGTAATATTAAAGGTGGAAACTCTTATATATTAATTATAGGGAATATTATTTTGTCATATGACAAATGTGTGATCTTATTATGAACAATATGATTATTGGATAGAAGAGTTTGGAGTCATCTGGCGATGAAATATCGAAGCTGGGATCCGTAAGCATGATATAAACACCATTTAAGATGTTAAAGTAACAAAGTACGCAAGTCCCTTTAATCTCCCACATTAGAATTAGCATGAAACAAGTGATACGTGAGATTAATATTATTGCACCCTATAAATCAGCAATAATATGATAAATCGAGTCAATCTTTCGAATGTTGAGATGGTAAAATCAATGCCTTAAGTTACAAGTCATGCCAAATTTCCCTCTATTTTTTTAACTAGACTTCTTTTTTATATCATTTGAAGAGGTTGACCCCAAAAAAATGGAGCGAACAGACTTCTTTGTTTACACGCCTTTAGAGTATAGCTGTGTATTTATAGTTGGAATGATTATTTCTTACTAGCTAGTAACTCTTGGTCTTCGTATAGGTATATATCATGTCCAATATGTATAATTCATTGACACACACAGTATGTTTTTCTATCCGTTTGAGGTATCCAAAAACACATCCTAAGAGAAGATTCGTCTTTTGTTCACGGTTGAATACTGTCCTTATCCGAAGATACAACAACTCGTAGAGGTCTCGAGTCCATTGAGCTGAAGTATATAATAGCTAGTCATCAACTTACCATCATCACTGTCATTAACCTCATCAGTCCAATAATGGTCAAATATTTAAAACCCTAAATTATAAAGTCCTTAATCAATAGTAAAAATAATTAAATTTTATGTTAAAGAAAGTTGAGGTTCCATAAACAACTAATTGGGATTATGAAAAGTGGTTCAACTTACTTATAAACTCATGTAAGGTCCCTCCTCCCATTAATGTAGAATTCATTCTCAACTCACTCGCGTGTGGCAAATTTTCAAGCCTAACAAGTGAACAACATAAAAGGCCACACGTAGACAACACAAACGAGATGATGTAGAGCACGTATGGTCTTTGGGTTTCACACGTGGAACAACCTACTTTGGGACCATGAAGAAAGTTAAGGTTTCACTATAAAATCAATTGGCAATATGGAAAGTACCCCAACTTACTTATAAGCCCATGCAAGTTCTCTCCTCCCATCAACATGGGAATCATTCTCAACATATGCAACCTCCAAATCAATATAAAAGTAAATATACTTTAATATTAATTGTCACCAAAATTTCGATAGTTTTTTTTTTATTTTTTATCTTACACATAATTTTGAGCATGTTTACATACTTGAAATCAGATAAGTCATCAATCAAAATTATACGTATTGTTCAAGTGTGAGATAAACTACATTTCTTAAGTGATATGATACATGATTATTGGTGATTATGAGATAACTGATTGTAACTGTAGGACTAACTTATCTTTTAATTCCTTATGTGTCAATAAACATAGAATGTTAGGTATTGAACTAATATTGATACCTTGCATACTCATTTTTTATAAGTACTAAGGATAGAGCTATTCACTTACCCATTTTTACCTTCTACATACCCTTGTTAATTTTTTTTTCATTAATCTTCTAAAAATTATTCGATCCGATGACCAAAAATTAAAAAAATGTATGAAAAATAAAAATAGGTATATGAATAGCATTCCAGTTCATCCAACTCCCTCTTAGACTGATATATATTCTTTCCCTCACCCGAAGGTAAATACCTTTTTAATACAACCGTCGGTGAAAGCAAACACACATAAACACATACACATTGTCCCTATCAACATTTCATGCGCATTTTCTCTCTATGTCCTTATATTATGTGACACTCCTAATTAAGAACATCAAATTCAAGGCCCCGCAAAGAAATATGAACAACATAAAAGACAAGGGCATAGCTTGACTTGTGACTAATATAGCCAAAGTTCAGGAAGAGTAGTCCTTAATACATGCACCCAACCTTAACGCGACATACGACATTTCCCTAAATTTGATAAAACTTACTCTTAAGCAAATTATTCACTGTCGGCTAACTAATTAATAAAGGTCTCTTCATCTTATCTAATATTAATTGGTAGTGTAGCACACACATGTTCACTTTAATTAAAAATGAAAATAACATAATTTAAAGAGAGAATAATTTTTTTAAATCAAGGAGAGTTTAATCTTTAATAAAGCAGATAATATATCTATTGTCTATACATAAAATAATATTATATATAACTCAAGCGCTATTTAGTTAGTAACCTATATGAAGTTAACCACTCATATAGTCTCCCATTATGAGATTTCCAAATTGAGTGAAACTTTTGCAATAATGATCTAAGAATAAGGACTTAAGAACTGAGCTGTTCAAATCATGAGATTGTTTTGTGAAAAAAAATGTATAGATAATTAGTTCATGCTGTATTATAAGTTATTAACTAGCTAGCGCTTGTGTACTCCTCCGTAAATAAAGTATAAAGAATGTATTATTTCAAAAATTAATGCAATGAGTAAGAGAATAGGAAGGTGGCGACCGAGGACATTCCAACAACAAACCCTAGAAGCTTATAAATAATAGAGTGCACGTTGAGAATTTGCCTTAGATCATGGCAGCTCCCATGTGAGAACCGTACGTACAAACAATTTTCTTTGTCATTTCGTTTGGCTCTATGCATTTTTTTTGTTATGTCTTACACGTGTGTCCTCATTTCTTTTGCTTTCTTGGGGAAAAGCTCCCATCCACTTTAACCAACTCATTACACTAAGACCTCTAAATTTGGTAGAATAATTATATTTGTAATGGTACAAGCACCAGGTGCAATTATTTGTATATAAATACAGCCGAAATTAGATGATATTTGGTACCTAAGTTGGCCCCCTTTGGAATCCTACGTAATATGTAGAAATCTACGTGCAAAGCATGACCTAATTATAAAAAAGATCGTTTCAAAATAATTTGTATATTTATGGACTGAACAAAAAAAAATTGTTTCACAAATACTAATTTAAGTTGCGGTGTCTAATGCATGAAGTAAGTTACGTAACTTACGTTAGACCAACATTACAGGCGTGATAAAGATGAATAAAATGTTATCAGTGCACTACTTATACAACTTTCATGCCAAACGTGATACGAATGTTGATCCCGTGATGTGCTATGAAACGAGCCAAATTAACAACACGAGTATAACACTTCTATTTTAAACTTGAAATTATTTATCTTATGTCAAGCACTATATCTTATTTGTTGATTCCTTTCAAAATATTTACATACATTTTCATTAACGAATAAATAAATATTGATACAGGTACTTATACATGGGGTGTGCTAGCTATCTACACACTTCTTTTTACTTCACAAATACACCTCTCAAATTTTTTTCGTTGGATAAAAAAAATTGAAGAATATCAAATGAAGAAAATTAACAAGGAATGTGTGAGCCCTTATACATATCTACTACACTATATTTCCATATAGCTACTACATTACCAAAGTCATTAAGAGTTGGTGCGAAGTTGCTACAATTAATTTGTTAATTTAGTAACAAATGTAAGAACCACCATGTTGAATAAAAAAAAAGAAACTTGTAGATTTATAAAGCAATGGATGAACAGAAAAATGCGATGCTTTTAGAAAAGAAAAAGGTTGCGTCTTATAGGTTACTAGAGTTGGATTCTTTTTTCTTTTTGGTGAGAACTATAGCTGGATTCTCTCCTTATTTTGTTCTTACTTAACTTTTGATGAAGGCATATTACTTACAAATCTGGAAGGGCTGGTTTGATAGAGATGATTGATTTTGGTATATGATTATTTACTATATAGAAAGTATTTTAATAGAATAAATGAATGACAAATTTCTTATTTTTGTCCAAGTTAAAGGTTACTCATGAATAAAAGATATCTTACAATCCCAACAAAAATGATATCTAGAATTAAAAGGGAAAACTATTATTCACGAGTAACCTTTAACTTGGACAACAACAACAACAACAACAACAAAGCCTTTTCCCACTAACAAAGTAAAAATTTGTGAATCATTATTTTCTTTCAAATATCTTTTATACAATGATTCTTCTTTAAAAATAACTTAGATAAAGTAAGAAATTTGTGAATCCTCTCGATCAAACGAGACCTAAGAATTTTCTTCTGTATTTTCACGTCTACTATTAAGCTCTAAAATACAAATAAGAATTGTTAGATTTGTAATTCCATGCAATGCATGCAAAAACTCACTAATTACTATTTTCGACAGCAAAAAGACTAAGCATTGCATTTTATCCGCAGAAGTGGTCAAATTGAAAGTTAAGCACAATACTATACAGCTGATTTGTAAGACAAATATAGAATTTTACTCAGCAAATCTGCTTTGAAATTCTTTTTTAAAGTCGTAGGTATAAGTGTATAACTACGTGTAAACTCACTACGCACGTTATTTATAGATTTTTTTTTTCAATTCAAGTGATTCATTTTTATTTACAGAGATTTGAAAATAAAAAGGTGAAATTGAGACATCGAATGTAAAAGTTGATATTTTAGTTAAATTAAGAGGAAAAAATTCGATTTTTAGTGTACATACATCTCACTCTTCCCTCTAACCAGCTTGACTACATCTGTATCTGCATACTATTTTAATCTCTGGACTAGAAAAACACAAAAAAGAATTAAAACTAAAAATTAAAAATACACACAGATACATCAACCAACAATCACTACCCAAAAATACGCGCATAAAAACGAAAGAAAAAATGGAAAAAGAAACCAAAACCAAAAGAAACGAAGCACGCATCATCTCCTTATATAAGCCAAAAACCAACGCTCTCAACCATCTCTCTCTCTTTCCCCTCTCTCTCTCTCTCTCTCTCTCTCTCTCTCTCTCTCTCTCTAGAACCAGCCATGGACGACTCGCCCTTACCTACAGAAACCTCGCCGGAGCTCGATCTCGAAAACCTCAGGGCCCTCAAAGTCTTAGGCAAGGGAGCAATGGGCACCGTTTTCTTAGTCCACGACCCGTCCTCTGACCCCTCCGCCCGCCGCCCGTTCGCTCTCAAAGTCGTTGACAAGTACTCGCTCCGCTCCAAGCTTGACGCCGAGCGCCGCGCCCGTTGGGAAATACAGGTCCTGACCCGACTATCCGCCCCGATCCCGCACCCGTTTCTGCCCTCCATCATGGGGTCCTTCGAGTCCGACGAGTTCATGGGATGGGCCGTCCCTTACTGTTCCGGCGGCGACCTTAACGTCCTCCGGTACCGGCAAAACGACCGCGTTTTTTCCCCCGCCGTGATCCGATTTTACTTGGCGGAGATCGTTTGCGCGCTCGACCACCTCCACAGCATGGGAATCGCCTACCGAGATTTAAAGCCCGAAAATGTCCTCATCCAGCAATCCGGTCACTTGACACTCACAGACTTCGACCTCTCGATTAGCCTCAAGCACCGGACCGCCAAGCCCAGCGACTCCGTTCCGGAAAACGACGTCCCGGAGATTCGCCGCAAACACCGGCGGAACTTGACACGTTGGATCACGATTATAAACGACAATCACAAGAACGGCGGCAGCGGGAAGGGGTTGAAGAAGGCCAAGTCGGCCCGAGTCAGCCCGATGAGTCGACGGAAGCTGAGTTTCTCGGACGGCGAACGCGCGAACTCGTTTGTCGGAACGGAAGAGTACGTATCCCCCGAGGTGGTGCGCGGGGAGGGCCACGAGTTCGCCGTTGACTGGTGGGCCCTCGGAATTCTAACTTACGAGGCGTTGTACGGTACGACGCCGTTCAAGGGGAAGAATCGGAAAGAGACATTTGGGAACGTCCTGACGAAGACGCCTGAGTTTATCGGGAAGCGGACGGCGCTAACGGACTTGATCGAGAGGCTGTTAAACAAGGACCCGATCAAGAGGCTAGGGTACCACCGGGGCGCGTGCGAGATCAAGGAGCACGAGTTCTTTCGCGGGGTCCGGTGGGAACTGCTGACGGAGGTTTCGCGGCCACCGTGCATTCCGTCGCGGGAGGATGGTGACGTAACGGATAAAACAACGGCTGGAGGGAGAGTGAGCGTGAGGGAGTATTTTCAAAAGTTACGGTCTCCCCCCTCGGTGCCGCCATCGCCGGATTGTCAACTAACGGAGTTCTGACGCACTTGCGTGAGTTTGCATGTGTAAGAAATACGGTAACTAAAAAAAGTGTATCCTCTTTGTATAGTATAACGGTAGATGCCCGTAACTTTAAATAGCAATAGATTATAGTTAGCTATAGATTCCAATAAAAAAAAAGCAAGAGACTTGTACTATATACGAATTCAAAACGGTGTATAACCTTTTTTCCCGGGTAATTTGGTACTCGTTCCACGGCGGCGCGTGTTTGCCATGCTCTCAAATTTTTGTTGTTGCGGAAGCGGAATGAATAAAATCTCATTAATCGAACTCCCGGCTTCCAATTACTATGATGCACAAGTATAGAAATAGCTGAATTTTGACAACTTCAATATACTTGTTCAAACACTGTTGCATCGCATAATCCACCTTAATTCTAAAGCATTTTTTATTTAATTTAACGTCACAGTTGATTCAATTATTCACGCACGAAATTTTGTTTGAGTGCAAAGGAAGTGGTGAAAAGATGGTTAAAGTTAAAAAAGGTTGGTTTTGAAATTGGAAAGCCCTTTGTGCAAGGTTCGTTTAACTTGAGCTTTAACTTACTTTGATTCATTACCTTACAATGGAAAACTCGTCTTTCTTGAGTGAAAAGTTATTGGTAGGGTCAATAACTGTAATCGACATCATTTTACCTACCAAAAAGATAATTATAGTAACAACTAGTTTTGTTCCGTGAAGAGTGGTCTTATGGTAATTAACCGATGATCATCATAATTAGGAAACTATATATAGTTGGACAAGAAATTATGAATGGCCATTCCTTTTGCACGTGCTCAAGTTCATTGGCTTTGATTGCTTAAATTGATCGATTTTTTTTTAGAATGGTGCTATCTACACACTCATTTTACCTTTCACACACTCCTCTCAATTTCTATCGATCGAATGAAATGAAGAAGACTAATGAACAAAATTTAACAAGAGTCTACGAGTGATATAAAAAAGTGTGTGAATAATACTACCCTTTTTATATTGTTTTAGTTTACTAGTTTCTATAGTATGTAAATTGGGACTCAGCAGAATTAACTTTACTAGTTTATGATATGTAAACTTGGACTAACCAAGTGATTGGTTATAGCAGTGTGCTCTCTCATTTGTACCTAAATTTGAATTTCGCTTCTTATAGTTAAATGAATTTATTGTGGGATATCACTTATATCATAAATAAAAAACCTTGTTTCTCATCTACAAGTAGATTCTATGAGTTTGATATTGAATTGTGACGTTTTACAGTGACATGTTATTGTAGTGGGCGTATTGACATGTCATAAATATCTTTATAATTTTTTTTTTATTCATTTCTAATACTCTGGTTGAAATATCTCTAAGCCAAAAGATAAAAAAAAAGAGAGCGACTCTAGCCTAATAAGGCTGTTCGTTTTGCAAGGATGGAGAGGGAAATGTCTATCATATGCAGCCTTACTCTTGATTTGGAAAGAGACTGTTTTCACGAGCCGAGCATGTGACCTTTAGATCACAAAAGAGCAAGCTTTTTGTTGTGTCAAAGCTCTCAAATGGTTACTTGTATAAGGATTACAAATAAACGACTTACTTGTATACAGATTACAAATAAACTAGCAAAGAGGTTACTTGTATAAAGATGATCACTTTGGACACAAAAAAGGTGAGAGCTTATGTTATGATTTGGGGACAAAATGTTCTTAAATCACGCGGTTTATTAGTAAATTATGGTCTTAGTTCCAACTTTACGAAGCAATTCATACGACTTAATCCATGGCGCCCAATAGAAAGCTGTATTAGTAATGATTACAACTTTGTGAATAAAATTGCAATTTTTTGAACTTGAAAAGGAAATATTGGTAGGCCGAGAATTAGGGTTAAATTAACATAATATTCAGAGCCAGTGAGGCACCAGATGAATATCTAGCCAGCAAATCCATGTATGGACCGTTTGGTGGTGAAGGCTTAAAGGGTACATTTGAATATAAAAAAGACAACCTCAAGCTAACAAAAATTTCTGTTTTGTGAAGGCCATAGTAACGTTTATCGTACACATCATTACCTTTGTGCAAAAAAATTGTTTTCATGACTCTACCCATTGCATGTTCAATCATAAATGAACAATATTTCTGTTGTGACAAGACTTCTCAAAGGATAACATTGAATATCATTTAGATAATGTGGGAAAATATGAGAAACCCGAAGCACAGGATCGATTATTTTTTCGATAATTCAGGGACCACTCGTGTGCAATAAAACTAGCTGTGGGAACTGTTGCAACTCCAGCTTTTGCGAGCAAGTGGATGAAATAGTTAGCCTTTAAAAATGGCGCTCTGCAAACTTTCCGAGGAGAAGATAATGGCAGTGGTAATTGTCTTTAGAGGATTTTCCACTAACATATATAGTGGTGGTGGATGAGATAATATGCTTTGGAGTTTGTAACAGTGAATCTGTCAATGAGCTCTTTGCTAATGACAGTTTAAGGGGTAATTAGCCACAATAGATATGTTTTGACATGTGTTGAACTTTGGACCACACTTTTTAAGGATCGTTTTGATCAAATTTGCCTGTAAAAAGGCAAAAATGTCCTTCATGTGTACTAACATGCTACGGTTATCATATCGTTAGTAAAACCCTAGCTGTCTAGAACAAAACTTGAAGAAAAATTCTCTACCATCAGCCTCTTGCTTTGGATTTGGGGTTGGTTGCAATCTTTTTGAAAATCATTACGGGTCGCTTCCGTTTCTCTTTCCGTTTACGTTGTTTGATGTAAAATTATCACCGTGAAATGCTGTAGTCACTATAATAACCATCGTTTTGGCCTACGCACACAGTAAACACAAGATTTGAATCCAGTTATCACCCTCGATGCAGAGTTGAAGTTGGAAGCCATATAAACACCAACCATCATTTTATCTAATTACCATATATAACTCTTTGACCGATCTTCATTGTCTTCCTCTGTTCCTCATATTCAATTCCCTTGGCACTATATCCCTAAGCAAACTTGTAATGGTTGTTCTTGCATAAGTTGATCATGGAAATTTAATTACCAAATGAGAGAGGCGCGAATTATATACTGATAGCACTCACGAGCATGATATAATAGCAAATTTAATTGCATTATTTTAAGTGATTGATCAGGTCAGTACTCTAACCCACCAATAATCCTAAAATTGAAGGGAATATTAATTTATCACCTTAATGAGCTTAGGGCAAAACGGGAATTACAGAAATAATTAACATATCTAGGGCAAGTTTGCATAGGTGGCATAAAATCAATGGGTCTAACCTAATGACCAGGACTAATCTATGAAAAAAAGTGAGTCTTAATGAAACACTTTCGGTACTGTTCACTTTTAAAGTTAAGGACTTTTTTGCCTAAAAAATCACTCATGGTACTATTCACTGCACCTTTATTTTGTCATTTTGATCTAAAGTTTTTGAGGATTTTTCGTTAATTATCCTATGAAAAAATGGGAGAGGTTTTATATTCTCTTACAATACTGCTAATTTGCTAAACCAATCTTAACCAACTTTAACAAACGTATAATCAACCAATATTGAGCTGCCACGCGCTCGCTCAATCCTTCACACTATCGTTAAGTTTGAACTTTCTGAAGTATCTGAATTTTTATGAAATGTGAATAATTTTTTTACCCATGATTAAATGTATTCGAATTTACTTTAATCAAGGCCTTGTACTTGATGAGAGAGAGTGTATTATGTGTATTTTTTTCAGTTAAAAAGGTAAACAAAAGAATATAAAAGAGGAAAAGAAGAATAATATATTTACATCAATCATTTGTGCATGAACAATGTTAGCGAGATCAAATTTTTAGACCAATTTGCAAATTATGTGATGTGCTATCAATAAGAAATAAGTATGTTAATTAACATTTAAGTAATAATCTAATCATCTCTCACCTAGGCTTTTAGGGTTTTCTCTACTAGCCACCTTTGGGCCTCTCATGTTTGAGCTTTTGTGGAGGATCTTTTTTCTTTATGGGTTGAAAGCCTTTATGTTATTTCATTTATGTACTATTTTGCAATTGTTGCAACGAATAACTATTACTCGTGCTTTGTTTGCATAAGTGACGTCTTCTTTATATACTTTAGTCTTTTTAGGACTACGTGCATACTTTGTAATATGTCCGTCAAAACTTTATTTTACTAATGTTTCTCTATCTTTGACCCCTAAAAAAAGATGGTCTCTCCTGGTCATTACCCTTGTAGGGCAGAATATAAGCACACATAAATTATAGAGATGTAGTAGGGTAGAGGAAGATCACATCAAGCAGAAAAATATCGAACTAGATTTCCTATGAATTATATATAAAAAACAAAGCCACAGTAGTAGAGCAATTACAAAAAATGGAAATCCATAACAAAGACGACAATAGAATCAAAATATATACAATGTCAGTACTTGTTTGACAGTATATATAGCATCTGGTGCTGAAACCAAACAAGCAATGCTGGAATCAGATGCCAATCAGCATGCAATCAACACGAACATATTATTCTATTTGTCAGTAAATTTAGTGCTCCTGTGACTTTGAGGCCCCAAACACTGAATGAGTACTGAAAACCAAGTGTAATCTTTGTCTTCTACCTCTAGGCTCTAGGGTTAATTGGTTCATATATATCTGCGTTTTTATTAGGAACTGTTCTTGCGCTAAAAAACAACCCACTTTTTCCGGCCATGCATGAACAGGACAAGAGTGAGGCTTTTATGTCTAACCCTAGCTACGCTAGCAGACAGTATCTATTTTCAGCTAAGAATAAAAAGAAAATGTACATGGTAAGCCTTTGGACAATGGATTTGCTCTTTACTTTCCTTCTTTTTTATTTTGTTTTTATTTTTTATCTTTACCATGGCTACAGGTATGGGAAACCCTATCTCTGCATCATACCATGAGTTTTATTTTTGACGTTGAACATGGAATCTTTATATACTTGCACCATATTTTGTATGTTGTTTAAAGGGAAAAACTCATACTCAAGTTAAGGAAGCTTTATAGCTTTTAGACTATAGTCAAAGAAAAGCTTTTAGAATGTGACGATGATCACCAATAATTCCTATATATCTATATATATCTTTGTCCATCTCATCCAATAATGTGGTATATCTTATAGTACCACAATGCACCATGATGGTTTTGAGTGAGGAAAAAAAATTAGGTTTCCTTTCCGACAGTAGAACAACTATTAATTTTTTGTCGAGACATATAACAACCACATCCAATACAAGAAAGATATGTGGGCTCAACATTAGGGTTTTATTCTTGTCATACGCTGAATAAATA